AAAAAGAAAGGGAAAATAAGGAAACGTAATTAAAAAAAAAAAAAAAAAAGGAGAGATTTGATACACTCAAGCAAAGGGACGACAATTCCTCAGATCGTCCCATCCGTGCGTGTAACAAAGAAGGGCTGTAACAATTTCTCTACAACAATAGTCGCCCCTTCGTCTCGACTGTACCAACACGAAGAAAGTGAAAACGAAACGAAAAGGGGATTCGACGAGGCTTCGTCAACGGCAGGCAATAGTATCTGTATAAAGCAATAAATAAGGCTCGATATCGAATGTCTTTGCTCTATACGTCACAAACTGTTGCCATTATCTGCCTTTCTCATTCTTTTTTTTTTTTTTGTATTTTTTCTTTCTTTTTTTTTTTCTTGTCAAATGTTCTCTCCTCCTTCTCTCACGACTCCGGAAAAATCATCAAAGAAAAGAAAAAGAAATAAAAGAGAGCTGATCAACAACCTCGTCCAGTCGAAGCCGGATTGTACACGATTTCGAGTCTATAACTTGACACGCACTGCACACAGCTCAGTAAATACTTATCTCGCAAATTCTAATCGCCACCGTTTTATCGATAACAATAATTACATTGATCGTCGACACTTATCGGTGATTTCGCTTCTTTAATTCGATATATATATATTTATATCTATATCCATATTTATAATATATATATATATAGATATATCAAAAATATCCTTAATAAAATAGAGAATTTTAATATGTATAACGTACCATCAAGTACTTTTTTTTTTGTATTATAATTTTACCTACTATTATATATATATATATATGTATATATATATATAATACTGAACGTGTGTTGTAAATAAATAAATATATATATTATTTATTTATTTATTTATTTATTTATAACGCACGTTTAGTACTACGTATATGTATTTAATATATATATATATATATATATAATACTCACGTCGCATTCTTCCCTATTGTTCACGCGCGCGCGCACACAACTTTACTCATGTACAATATATATCCCATGCACGTGTATATACGTATCTCTCTGTGTGTATATTTCCTTACGTTTCGCCACTTGTGAACTTTTCCCAGATTAGATTACACACACTTCGAGTTCCTGGCCTTCTTCGCTTCAAAGCTATTCATATATATATATATATTCAAATTTGTATTTCAAAGTCTAAGAGACGATGGTAAAATATCTTACAACTGTTATTTAATTTGTCAAAAAAAAAAAAAAAAATTATTCAAAGACTATAGAGATTATATAACATAGTTTAATAGGAAATTATATTACGATTTATTAAACTAAAAGTTTTACTCTCGTCGTATGGATGTTTGAAGACATTGCGATATATATATATATATATATTACAATACCGGATGATCGTCAATGATCTCATGGTTATGACAATGCAATGTACCATGATATAGTAATTTAAAAAATATCCCTAGACTCTCGATACAAATCTCGGTAGGTGAATCTTTCCGTCGGTAATAATTAATGTACAAAATTTTTTTAACAATGATTCGACAAGTTAACAATGATTCAACGAACGAAACTGCCAGAACACTCGAGAGCAAAATTGATCTCTCTCTCTCTCTCTCTCTCTCTCT